GTGCATACCGACCACGGAACCGCCAAAACCCATCTTCTCGTGTAGAGATTTTGCCCGCAGCCATCGGCGCTGTTGCATAACCTTGTTCGCAAAATTGGGCCAACATCATAGACATGCAAATTAGTCTGGTAACCCTATTCGATGGTATGCAAAACCGTCGATACCCCAGTTCTGCTGCGCAAAATTGTCTGGTAGCGCCACTCAAAACACTGTGTAACAGCTGACGCAGCACAGAAAAGGAAGAAAATATGTGATTGAATCAGTTGCGTTTTCGATTTCGTATCGTCGTGGTTCTTACCGCGTCTTGTTCGGCGCCTAACAAATATTCCTGCCGGCTACTATTTTCCGCTAAATGTGACGAAAAATCCACTGGAATGAAAGGCTACGGGGTCCATTTCGATAACATTAATTTGGACCAATATATTGCTACCGGGAAATGTAGGGGCAGGGCAGAAAAACAATAAAACCCCTAGGGACCTGGACGCATTTCTGGGAGGGATCAACCCTAAACACGGGAAAGGACATTGTGTTTAGGGTTGATGCCTCCCTGACGCATCCCTTTCCGATCGGGTTTTATTTTTTTCTTGGCCCGAAGAAATCACGTCTTAGCGCGAAGGCAAGCGCGGTAAAGATCAAATTTGAATTAAATGAACGCGCTTTCAGGGCAGCATGTCAATAACTTGCAAACAGAGGTAAGACGGTTTTGCATACCATTGGATAGGGTTACCACACTAATTTGCATGTCTATGATGTTGGCCCTCGCAAAATTTAGTCGCTGGGCAGGCAATAGTGCCACAATTTCGAAGCCCCATGCAGGGCAGAACATGATTCTTGAGCCCCTGTCAAAGGTGGGGGAAACAAACAAAGAAACCACAAGTCATCACGGTCATCCATATTCAGAATTTTGCGTAGGGGTATAGGGATGTAACTTCGACGTCTTGAGCTATATAGCACAGCCGTTTTGCCAGAAGTTTGAAAATATAACCAATCAGCTTTCCAAAATGAAAATATGGCAGATTTCAAAAACTCTCGCCTGCCCGAGCCACTCTCGCCTGCATGGCGGAACAATCACGAAGTTGCGGTCGCACTGTCGCGGAGACCAGCAAGGGCCGTGCATCTGTGATCTGGCTGTACTGTAGGTGCTGGTGTGGTCACACACCTGCTTGCCGTGTCGCCGTTTGCACGTTTGTTCTTTTTTGACAGCGAGCCAGCGAACAGGCTGTCGGCAATGAGGTGACGGCGATGGTGGATCGATGGGGCTTGGCCGTTTGTTGTCACCTTGTCGTCGTCACTCCCAGAAACCTTGTCAAAGAGAGATTCGCTACACAGTCGAGAAGGGTGGGCGTCCTTACAATAAGAAGTCTATAATGAAGCAGGGTTATCAATCTGATCAGCTACAATAGGAAGTCTATGATGAAGTAGGGTCCTTTTTGCACGATCAATCATGCAAAACCAATTGTTCGCCGCACTGAAATCCTGCTTATAGCATTCAAACCTTTTAGAACCCTTTTCAACCCGTTTGATACATATTCAGAGCAGGATCTATCATGCAAAAGAGGTAAGACACGTCCATACTCCGGAACCCGAGTCAGAAGAGATGGAGTGTGAGTGGGTGACGACGACAATTAAGCTGAGCACACAAGCGTGCAAATTAGAGAGACTTGGCCCCCTTTAACATAATGTTCTATGGTTTGATAAAATGAAGACCCCAATTAAGGTGGACCCACCACCAGCCACCAAGCCTCTCCATTGTTACACTACTTGATTGTGTCCTTGTGCCATCAACAGCTCTTCCAACCAACAAGCCATCGATGTCGCGATCAACAATGCTTCATTCAGGTGACGATGATGTGTCAGCTCGAGCAGGTGCATTATGCTCACTCTCAGTTGTACGCTTGTCCTGCCACCGGGATTGAAAATTGGAAAAGAGGACAACAAACAGCAAAGGAAAAGCAAAGCACGAATGTTGGAAACCTGCTGAAGAACAGAAAAGGGCAAGAAGAATATGCAGGAGGTCTAACCGGACGGATAAGCTGAACAACAAGACAAAAACCTCATCACACTGTGGAAGTGCGTACCGAAACCGACACACCTATTTGTTTGCCCTTCAGAAACAGAAGTGTGCGTTAGCTGATTAATCTTACCCCTAAACGCCTAACCACTGCAAGCCCTACACATGAGTATTGTAGTCAAGCATGCGAGTGCTAGCTGATAAACTCTATCAGCAAAACTAGGACACAAGCACAAGCGGAGGGACTTGGCTCACAGAAAAACAGCACGTGTAAAAGGAATAACTTCCCTTGCCACACACGCCAGCTCACCGTGTTCATGTCCCCACCTCACATTCTTGCAATACCAGCGCAACTTGCTCCAGTGCCAGCTCAACTTGCTCCAGTGCCAGCTCACCTTGCTCCAGTGCCAGCTCACCTTGCTCCAGTGCCAGCTCAGCGCGCTGCCAGCGTTGAGCAGAGCAGATGTGCCGAGAACGAGGGTGGCGAGCCCCAGCGACCCCACCCCACCACACCACCCGTGCACCGTATCTAGACCTTCGACATGCCTGCTATGCTCCCTGCTCTCTCTCTCTCGCTCTCTCTCTCTCTCGCTCCTCTCTCACTCTGCTCTCTCTCTCTCGCCTCTCTCTCTCTCCTCTCTCTCTCTCTCTCTCTCATCTCTCTCTCTCTCTCTCTCTCTCTCATCTCTCTCTCTCTCTCTCTCTCTCTCTCTATCTCTCTCTCTCTCTCTCTCTCTCTCGCTCTCTCTCTCTCTCTCTCTCTCTCTCCTCTCTCTCTCTCTCTCTCTCATCTCTCTCTCTCTCTCTCTCTCTCTCTCTCTCTCTCTCTCTCGCTCTCCCTATGTATGCTCTACTCCCGGCTGCCTGTTGTCCAGCTCTGCCCGTATGTCTGTCCCTCTGTTCCTCCGCGTGTTCTATCTCCCTGTCCGTGTCTCTTGCGTTTCCAGCTGCTACAGCTGCTGGAAGTGCGACTAAATCCGCTTCTGCTGCACCTTCACTCAACGGGGGAGGCAGGAAAGGAAAGGGGGAGAGGAAGGAAAGGCAGAAACGGGGGATGTCTTAACAGGGATGGAAGGACAGGAAATGCAGGAAGGGGAGGGGAAGAAGAGGGAAGGGAGGGGACGAGAGGGAGAGAAGAGAGGACGTTTCAAAACTGGATGAGGGAGGGGAGAAGAGGAGCTGGAGGAAGCTAGCGAGCAAAATATGACGCCGAGTTTTGAGTCGACTCTAAACTAAAGCCAGGGATGGTGGGGAGAGGAAACGAGAGAGGTCGACTCAAAAACTGGATGAGAGGAGGGGAGAAGCTAGCGAGCAAAATATGACGCCGAGTTTTGAGTCGACTCTAAACTAAAGCCAGGATGGTAGAGGTCGACTCAAAAACGAGGGTTGGGGGGACATAAGGATAACGCGATGGTGGGGAGAAGATTAAGAAAGGACGTCTCAGAACTGAAATGATAATTTGCAAACCTGAATCCCATTGGCCTGCCCATTGAATGGGCGGAAAGCAGGATAGAAAGGAGCGGACTTAGGGAGAGGAATTAGGGAGCGAAATTGAGAAGGTCGGTGAGAAGAGTTGGGGTGAGCAATTTGTGCGAGGAGTTAGGGAGAGAAATCAGGAAAAGGAAGAGCAAGGAAATGCACGGTGGGGAATGTATTGGATAGGAGACATAAGGAGGGATGGAAAGACAGGAAAGGCTGAGCGGGAAGGAAAAGAACGGGAGGGGAGAAGGACGAGAGGGAGAGCTAGAGAGAACGACTCAAACCTGGATGAGGGAAAAAGGAAACAAGGGTATCTGGGGAAGCTAGAGAGCGAGAAGTGGCGTCTAAAAACGGGAACGGCGGGAGAGGAGATGATCGTCTCCTCTCGAGAGGACGAGAGGGAGAGGACGAGAGGGAGAGGACGACTCAAAACTAGACGAGGAAAGGGAATAGGATGTTGGGGGGATTTAGAGAGAGCGCGACGGTGGGGAGAGGGGACCAAGAGAGGACGACTTGAAACAGGGATGGGGGCGAGCAAATTGGGAAACCGAAACCCCACTGGCCTGTCTGTTGGATCTACGGAACCCATGTTTTTTCATCAGATTATCTACAAATCAATCGTGTCAGCAAGTGGCGAAGGTGACAAAAGTTTCGAAAGTCGCGAGAGTTGCGAAGGAATCGAAATTGGCGAGAAAAACAATAGACGAGGGACGACGATACGGTAAGACGAACGAGAGGTACTTCACAAATGGCCGATGCAGATTCGCGGACGACGAAATCACTATACAACTACTATCAGGGGAGCTGGTACTACACGGAACTTACGCGGTGTGAAAACGAACGCCCGATGCAGATTCGCGGACGACGACGACTAGTCGCACAGAATCGCGCGCAGACGACAGACGATGAGACGGACGGAACCAAGGGATAAGCGAAAAGACAGATACGATTGCGGTTGAATCAGATCCGTTGGATGAATACGGTGGATACGTGTGGAGTTGAAGGAACAGACAAGCGGGAAGTGGGACGCGACGCGACGGGAGAAGCAGGTGTGGGGAAACAAGGGGGAATAGTCGGGCTGGCTGGATTTATGGTGGTGACGGGTGTGTAGCGGGCAAGGGCACAGCTTACTTTCAGAAGAAAAGCTTCTCGTTCGGTAAACGACGGCCAAGAACGGTGCTGTACATTACCAGCAGGTTTCTCTGGCTACACCGGTTTGAACCGCTACTCACCTTTCCGAACACTTGTTGTTTCGCACCCTGAGTTTAGCGAGATGCGGCTGTTCGAGTGTGTAACCGGTCGTTGATTTCTCGTCGACGCTTCGCGAAAAAGCTGTTTACGTCTTGCTCATATGTGCGTCTACTTCACCGCTTTGAACCGCTCGCTACTCACCAGACTGAAAGTCGCTTGACTCTAGAAAGAACCTTATACTCCCGCATTTGCCGTTCCGAACAAAGTAGTAGTTATCGTCTCTCCCGCGTTAGCTTTCCGAGTCCTTGTTTTCCGCGCGATGGGTCGGCCTGCAGCAGCAGGCGGATCGCGGAGGCCGGCGGCCGGCAATAATGACGACGGCGCGGAGGTGTTCGACTTCCTGGCGGCGATCGTTAACGATGTGAGCCTTTTATCGGAGCGATCGTTATATCGAGATGATCGTTACGTCGAAATGAGCGTCGAATCGCGGTGAGCGTTGTATCCCGGTGTTCGATCTCCTGGCGGCGATCGTTAACGATGTGAGATTTTGTTACAAGATGGGATTGGCCATGCCAGCGAGCATGGGAATACCCGAACGGCTGGAACTCCCCTTGCATAGATAGCTCCGAATAGAGAAAGGTGCTAACCTCGGAGCGTATAAAGGGTTTCTTTGAGACGTCTCAAACCTACCCGTTATACACGTGCTAACCTTGGAGCGTATTTAGAATACAGCAAGGCATGGCATCGAGGCGCTATGCCAAAGATGCCATGCGAAAAGCGTGGCGATACGGTTTTCCTTACTAGCCGCGCTTCCTCCTTCCTAGCATAAAGTAGCTTCTCTTAGTCTTGTTGTACCATCTTATCCTTGGATCGTTTACACTCGTTCAGTCTTTCTAAATTTATCTTCCTGTCTTCTCTCGTCTACGTTCCCGAATCTTGGCTCTCAGCTTAGCTTAGCTTACCTTCCGCTCTTCCTAGTCGGCATTGCCGGCCAGGCCAGCCGCGCCGTAAACGGCAGCGCCGTAGCCTTGTTTCACTAAGTAACTTGCTCTCTTCTAAACACGTCCGCACCTACTAGGCTCTTCAGATGTGACGTGTCAGTTTCTCTTCGCAGTCGACTCACAAATATGCTGTAAGGCTCGCCGGGATTTCGCAACAAGGCTCATTCTATCCCTCCCCGTCCTCGTTTCTCAGATCGTTTCCATCCCTCCCCGTCCTCGTTTCTCTCAGATCGAGCAGGCAGGGTGGGGACAGAAATCGAGCTCAGAAGCAAGATCTCTTCCACACCACACTCTCCCCTCATTCCGCGTTCCCTTCCCTCCCGTCCCCTCCTCTCCGTCCTCGTTTTTCCAGATTGAGCTGGCAGGGTGGAGACAGAAATCGAGCTCAGAAGCAAAATCTCTCCCCTCATTCTGCGTTCCCTTTCTCTCCCTTCCCCTCCTCCTCCCCGTTTCCTCGTTTCTCCAGATTGAGCTGGCAGGGTTGGAGAGGGGAGGGGTTCTTGAGCTGAGAAGCAAGATCGATTAGCGACTATCCACACCACACGCTTGCTCATCCCCCTTCAATTCTCCCTCCCTCCCCTCCCCTCCCCCCCCCCCCCCCCCCCCCCCCCCTCCTCCCCCCTCCTCCCCCCTCCTCCTCTTCCCCCCTCCTCCCCTCCCTCCCTTCCTCCTCATCCCCCCCCCCTCCCCCTCCCCTCCCTCCCCCCCCTCCCTCCCCCTCCCTCCTCCCCTCCTCCTCCCCTCCCTCCTCCCCTCCCTCCCTCCTCCCCTCCCTCCCTCCTCCCCTTCCCTCCTCCCCTCCCTCCTCCCCTTCCCTCCTCCCCCCCTCCTCCCCTTCCCTCCTCCCCTCCCTCCTCCCCTCCCTCCTCCCCTCCCTCCTTCCTCCCCCCTCCCCTCCCTCCTCCCTTCCCTCCTCCCCTCCCTCCTCCCTTCCCTCCTCCCCTACCCTCCATTCCTCCCATCCATGGAGAACGCAAGCGGCGGCGTGATTTTTGAGCTCAGAGGCAATACGAGGAGCCGCCATTCTCACCACCCTCTCCCCTCATCCCCTTTCCTCCCCCCTCCTCCCCTCTTCCCCTCTTCCCCCCTTCCCCCTCCCCCCTCCCCTGGTTTATCCAGATCGAGCTGGCAGGTGGCGGGGCGGACCTACCATCCAAACCACCCTCCCCTCTCATCCGCCTTCCATCCTTCTCCCCTCTTTGTTCCAGATGGAGCTGGCAAGTGGCGGCGCAGACATGGAGTTGAGAAGCAAGATAGAGGGGCTGCTTTTATTCGAATAACCATCCACACCACCACCCTCCCCACTCATCTCCCTTCACCTCTCCCCTCCCATCCTCTCCCTCCTCACGTTTTCTAGATGGAGCTGGCAAGTGGTAGGGCAGAGATGTAACTGGGAGGCATGATCGAGGGGTTTCCTTCGAGCCACCATCCACACCACCACCCTCCCCACTCATCTCCCTTCCTCTCTCCCTTCCTATCCCCTCCCTCCTCTGTTTCTCCAGATGGAGCTGGCAAGTGGCAGGGCCGACATGGAGTTGAGAGGCAAGATCGAGGAGCTGCGAGCAGTCTCGTCAGCCAGCGTGGCGCAAACCAACGCATCAATGGAGCAGGTGCGTGCGTGAGAATGTTGGCGTTGGTACGTGCTTCCATTCCATTTCACGTGCCTCGTTGCCGCAAGAACAAGGAGCTGCGAGCAGTCTCGTCAGCCAGCGTGGCGCAAACCAACGCATCAATGGAGCAGGTGCGTGCGTGAGAATGTTGGCGCAGTACATGCATCCATTTTATGTGCCTCCTTGCCGCAAGATAGAGGAGTTGCGAGCCATGTCGTCAGCGAGTGTGGGCAGACCAACTCATCTGTAGAGTTGGCTTTCGAGTCAGACTCAAAAGTGTGGCTCAGACCAAACATCCATGGAGCAGTTGTGTGGTTTGACACGTGTTCCAGCTCAGACTCGGTGGCGATGTGGCGATACACAGGTGCCACGTGCTCCACCTCTTTGCCACCCTTCTTTGCGAGAAACACGGCCAGCGGGTGCGACGAGAGGTAGAACAGAAGCTCCACGATCCTGCCACGTGTAAAGCCACAAGTAGGTGCATGCTAAATCTGCTGCGACATCCTGCTTTATTATTTCCTCCTCCCCTCCCCACTCCACAGATGCAGCAGCAGTTCGCGGCGTTGAGCCGGAGGCTGGGGGAGCTGGACAGGAGGGTGACGTCTCTCCCCCATCTAATGAACCCCGTTATCCCCTCCCCCCCTCTCCCCCACTCCCCCCAAACACCAGATGCAGCAGCAGTTTGCGGCATTGAGGCGGAGGCTGGGGAAGCTGGACAGGAGGGTGACGTCAGGTCTGTCTCTTCCCCCTCTAACGTCCTGCTTTATGATCCCTTCCTCCCTCCCGCATCTCCACCAGAAGCAGCAGCAGTTTGCTGCGTTGAGCCGGAGGCTGGGGAAGCTGGACAGGAGAGTGTGTTAGGACCGAGACAGTACAGGTGCATCCTTATCCTGCCTTATCCTCCCCACCCCACCCCTTTCCTTGCCTTTTTCACCCACCAGGTGCAGCAATAGTTTGCGGCGCTGAGCCGGAGGCTGGGGGAGCTGGACAGGAGGGTGACGCCTCTCCCCCATCTAATGTACCCCCATATCCCCTCCCATCCCCCCCCCCCCCCCCCCCTTCTCCCAACATTAGATGCAGCAGCAGTTTGCGGCGTTGAGCCGGAGGCTGGGCGATTTGGACAGGAGGGTGACGTCAGCCATGCAGGACCCCACCATGCGCCTCGTGCTGCAGGGCAGTGCGCCCCTCTTTTCCCCGACACTCAGGGAGGAAAGGGAGAGAGTGGAGGAGAGGGGAACTCAAGGGGATTTGGAGAGGGGAGGGGAGGGAAGTCGGAGACAGGGAGACATGGAGAGAGGCGAGGGGAGTCAAGGAGTGGGGAGGGATGAGGAAGAAAGGCGGGAGGGAGGTGGTGAGGCGGGGGGATTGGAGGGAAGGGAGGAGGTGGAGAGATTGGTGACGACGAGAGGCGGGAAGGTGAGAGGAGTGAGGAAGGTGGGGGAGGGAGTGATGGTGCTGGGAGCAGTGGTAATGTTGGTGAAGGTGCCGTTGGGAGCAGCCGTGCTAGCGGTGGTTCTGCTGTTGCTTTTTCCGGAAACACCTAGTTTTTCTACACATTCAGCTTGCGTTAGTACAGCGTTCTGTACATCATGTTGTTGCAATTGTAGATGATGTTTGGTTTTGACAGGCGTAGTGTAGTAAAATGATTTTTTTTGGCAGTTTGTTTCGAGATTCTTCGCATCGCAAGGCTCTCCTGTCGTGACTGACGGATGGAAGAACGTTCAACGGTCACGCGGGGGAATTTCCTCCTATTTCTGATCATATTTTGGCGGCACCTGACGGATCATTTTCGATTTTTTTGCGCATGTCACGCAGATCACCCGGAGCCATCGATTCAGATCGTAAAATCCGGAAATCTGCTGGATTTATCGAGAAACTGCCAGATTTTCTCACATCTTTGCACCGCGTTCCGTTTGCCGTGCTGGTGAAGGCGATGCGACGCGTTCAGGGAAGGTCTGTGCGTTCCACAGCGTTCAAATGAAATTCAGAACGGTTTTGAAATTCCTCGAAAACGAATGGTGCTGTTCTGCAGGCGTTATCGGTTCCGCATATTTTTTGCGGGCAGGGCCTTCCGCGTGGTTTCAGGGCGCATCCAATCTGGTGTGGTTGCGCGGATGTTGCATAAAAGCCCAGCACCATCCCAGTCGCACCTTCGCGTTTTGGCGAATGTTCACATTTCGGAGGTTGGTACTTCCCCGCATAACTTGTGCGGGGGCTGATGCTACCTCTCGAGGTAGAATCAGCACCACACAAACGGTGCGACATTCCCCTGTTGATGCAACATCCTCGAACCAGCTGAAGGTCAAACCTTTGCGCCCTAAAAGTGGCGTTCTGCAGGCTGAAGCGTCAAAATTGGCGCAAACAGGCTTGGCAAGCACTCGCTTATCACCAAACCTGGATAAGCAGAAAAGGCCTTATCAACGAAGATTTTGCGCACCCTGTTTCTTGCCAAAAACCGCCTGCAGAACAACGCCAATGTGTGAGAGAAACGCCCGACGCGACCCGATCTGGCTTGCCAGAGGGCGACCAAAGTGGATAAAGATTGACGGTGGCGACGCGGTTTCGGTTGGAACAACACCTCTGTGTTCCACTGCTCGCATACAACTGTTTCAAGCGGTGACAGACAGGGTTGACCATTGGCTGGTGAGAAGGGCATGAGTCTCTGTGTGTGTGTGTGCCCCACACAAAGTTATGCTGCCTCTGATTGGCGGATATTCACCAAGAGAAGGAATTTAGTGTTTCGGGCAGATAGAGAAGATTTTGTATCTCGAACACACAGCTGGTGGCGTGATGGCTGTGATGAGATTCCTCACCAACTCAATCTTGGTCGCTCATTGCTGGAACGAGAAAATTTCACCTGATTTCGGCTTTTGGGATTTTCCTCGCCGCCAGCGCGGTGCCGCACCGTCAACCCAGCAGCTCGGAGCACGTCAACGCCAGGCCGTGTTTTCCTGATTCCAGCTGGGCAAGAAATCGCTCCGACTTGCACGCAACCCACCCACTCGTCGAGCCGCACTTGCCAATCAACCCCCTTTTGCAGCACTGTGCGCATACGGCTCAGTGCTTGCCCCACCAACCTTTCGACGAGAAGAGATTTTTGCTCAATTTCGCCGAATCGCGCTTCGTTTTTTTTTTTTCGCCACGTGGCGTGACTACGATCGCGCAAACCGCGATCTGTTTTTATTATTCCCACAAATTTCAAGGGAATTTTAGTTAAGTTTAGTAGGTCACATGTACTGCGCTGCCCGCGGGCAAAAATAAAACCCATTCGGGCCTAACATGCGTTAGGGATGCATCAACCCTAAAAACATAGAGGCAAGGTGTTTAGGGTTGATGCCTCCCTAACGCATGCCAGGCCCAAATGGGTTTTATTTTTGCCCGTGGGCAGCTCAGTACATGCGATCCACTAAACTTGCCATGAAAATCGTGGTAACAATAAAACAGATCGCGGCTTTGCGCGATCGTAGGCACGCCACGTGGCGATAATAAAACAAAGTGCGTTTCCGCGGAATTGAGCAAAACTCTCTGACGAGAACGACTGGGCTGGGAACGACCGAGTCGCAAGTGCGCTGCGCACAGCCATCCTTCTTTCCACGACGACCACTCGTCGACCAGTCGGTGCGTTATTGCAGCGCCAGGTGGCAGTGGTTCTCCCGTCCTGCTGTCGTTTCCCCGCCCCTTTCTTCTCGGAATTGAGACTTGCTCGTCCTTTCACGCAACTGGACTTTCCTTGGACGGACGGGACTGGCTGGGGCAGGTCATTGTTTCAAAACCACACACCACAGTCGTCAGCAAGCGCACGAATCACGAATCTCCACCAACCTCTCCGACCGGGGAGGAGGACAGCGGCACGTCAAGTCTTCGCGTCGCCTCGTCGTCACTGCTGACTTTTCGCTCCCCGAATTTGAAGAGTACAAAGATGATAACATGTGCTTATTTTCGAGGTAATTTGACGCAATCCACAACGACGGCCCTACAATTTTTTTTTTGAAACCTAAGGTATTTATAACCACTGTACATTACAGCTCCAAGCATCGCGCACGGAATAGTTCACAGTGGTTTCGAGGGTGGTCTGGAAATTCCAGAAACTTTTTACAAGCCTGCCCTTTGCCTTGACTGTCTTGCGGGAAAGGGCAACCCTATCCGTCCGTGGATAACGGCTCAGCGTCAGGGGCGGGGCACAAGGCAGCACCACACCACCTTTCCCCTTTCTCTCCCCCACTCCACCACCAACCACCGCTTTTCGAGACACACCAACCACCAACCGCCACCGCTTCTCCCCCCACATATCGACCAACCGACCCACCACCGCACGGCGCAACAACACCGCCGTGCTTCCTTCCCCACCCCACTCCCCCCGCCACTCCACCTCTACCTGACCGTCAGAACAAGTAGAATTAGGGCTTCCATTTCGTTCATTTCTCATCAGCCTTTTGTGCTTTCAAACATGCCTTCGGCGACCACCGTTCAAAGCTCAAACAGCAATCGTCACTCAAAACTGCGTTCATTCGTTCTTCGTTCCAGGGTATTACGTTCCCGTCGCGTGCTCCAGTCCTTCAGTTTCTCAGAGACAGTCACCTGAAGTAGAGATAATCAAGTGTTCAGAACAGATAGACTCTCCTCTTTATCGTGTTTTTGGGTAGATAAAACTTCTTCGATGGCGACTGCACTAGCGACCTGCCCATCTGTTCCAAGAGCCTTCAACGGAACTTCTACCGCGCTCCGGCCACAAAAAGTATCGGAAAGGAACCTCTCGTCACTCCGCGTGTCATTTCCCGCAGCTCGCGTTGCCGTCTCCGCTCGTTCAGCATCGGTTTTATCTCACGCCGTACGATGCCAGGCACCAGCTGTTCTCGAGAAGGACGCGCAGCAACTGCAGCAGCTGTCCGTACCGTCGTCGTTCGATTACAACGAGAAGATGAAACGCCAGATGGCGAACCCGTACGAGTATCATCACGAGCTCGGAATCTACTACACACGCGTACACAAAAACATAATTGCCGGCTCGCAGCCGCAAACCCCTGCTGACATCGACCGATTACAAAAAGACGAAGGTGTGAAAGTGATTCTTAATCTCCAGCAAGACCATGATATAAGCTACTGGGGTGTGGATATTGGAGGTATTGTGAAGCGGTGTAAGGAGGTGGGGGTGGAGCATCACAGGCGGCCGGCAGTTGATTTTGACCCTAACTCACTAAGACGTGAACTCCCCCGAATGGTTGCGGTTATCGCGAAAGCTGTAGCGGAAGGGAAAACTATATATGTGCACTGTACTGCGGGTTTGGGGCGTTCGCCTGCTGCTGTTATCGCGTATCTTTTCTGGTTCTCCGAACCCAAGATGGACCTGAACGCCGCGTACGAGCACGTTACATCTCTTCGGCCGTGCGGACCCAAGAAGGACGCAATTCGGGGTGCGACGTACGATTTGGCCAAGAACAGTCCGTACCAACCGCAATTCGAGCATCTGCCCGATTTCGCATTCACTGACGTGGCGCAGTGGGAACGCGACCTTATCCGCCAACGGGTCTGGGGATTGGTTTGAACAGCACGAGGAAATTCAGGGGTTCGGTTCTTTCATTCGTCACAGTCGCGCGAAACGGAAGAAATTCGTTCCATTGGATTTTTCCCTTGCGTTGGCTCGCCACGCCTCGGCAGCAAAACGGAGGAGTTACTATCCTCGCGGAACTAGCTTAGCGTATTAGGTCGTACTTTAGGTCTGCTTCACCGCGCGTTTGCCACGTGTATATTTTAGGAACCTCGGGTGAGTGTTCTCGCCCTGTTTTGTACATTCTTTGAAGATTAATGACTAACAAATTCTGGATGAAAAACGTTTCAACCGTATGAAGATGGCACAGCCTGATAGAACAAGTGGGTTTGAGCCGTGGCAAGCAAAGTGGGATCTGAGATAAAGGAAATGAATTGTTTCTCAGGGAATAGGAAGGTGACAATCCCTCGTTTGGTAAATGAACAAAATTATTAATAGCTGGAGAGTCTCTGTAATTTTATACGGTAGCTTGTGTGCAAGATCACATGTTTCAGTTCATCATGCTGTTGTCACAATGCTTGTATGGCGATCAGTGCTTACAGCAGGTTGCATGTTGCTGTATAGATGCTAGGGTAGGCTACATCAGATATTGTGCAAACCTAACCTACAACCCTTCTTTATCATCTCCCTCTGTGCGAGGGAATCTAAGGCTGAAAAACACGCCTCCTGCCAGTAGCGACGCCACCACCCCTAGAGAGACCTCTGTTGGTACGTGCAAGCCTGGTAGTGCAGAAGAGGAGCGGAAAGAGAGGAGGGGAGAGAGAGAAGGGAAGGGAGAACCACATGCGAGAGCGAAAGTAAGAGGGCGTTAGCGTGAGCTGAGTATTTCCCCTTCCAGAAGCGATGTCACCGCCCTGATTAATGCCCGTACTCTACTACGATTGCCGATAAACCCTAGAACGACTGCCATGGCCTCGGCTGGGCTCGCATCGCCGATGCGATGGCATGTGATGGCATGTGATGGCATGTGATGGCATGTGATGGCATGTGATGGCATGTGATGGCATGTGATGGCATGTGATGGCATGTGATGGCATGTGATGGCATGTGATGGCATGTGATGGCATGTGATGGCATGTGATGGCATGTGATGGCATGTGATGGCATGTGATGGCATGTGATGGCATGTGATGGCATGTGATGGCATGTGATGGCATGTGATGGCATGTGATGGCATGTGATGGCATGGGCTGGCATGTGATGGCATGTGATGGCATGGGATGGCATCGGATGGCATGTGATGGCATGTGATGGCATGTGATGGCATGTGATGGCATGTGATGGCATGTGATGGCATGTGATGGCATGTGATGGCATGTGATGGCATGTGATGGCATGTGATGGCATGTGATGGCATGTGATGGCATGTGATGGCATGTGATGGCATGTGATGGCATGTGATGGCATGTGATGGCATGTGATGGCATGTGATGGCATGTGATGGCATGTGATGGCATGTGATGGCATGTGATGGCATGTGATGGCATGTGATGGCATGTGATGGCATGTGATGGCATGTGATGGCATGTGATGGCATGTGATGGCATGTGATGGCATGTGATGGCATGTGATGGCATGTGATGGCATGTGATGGCATGTGATGGCATGTGATGGCATGTGATGGCATGTCATGCATGGAAAGAGGGTGCACTCACCGCAGAACTCTGCCAGGATCTTTGAGCCGATGAAGCCGCGCACCACCGCGATGGCCGGCTAGGGAGCGACTCTTGCATCACACCATGAACCAGAGGCGAATCAACTATAAGTTGGCCTAGCACTCACCGCAGAACTCTGCCAGGATCTTTGAGCCAATGAAGCCGAGCACCACCGCGATTGCCGGCTGCAGGTAGTGCAGATTGGAGTGCCTCTTGCAACACACCGCGACCTAGAGACCACTCAGCCAGAAGGCGACTCAGCACTCACCACAGAACTCGGCGAGAATCTTTGAGCCGATAAAGCCGAGCTCCACTGCTGTTGCCGGCTGTAGGTAGTGCAGATTGGAGCATGGCATGCCATGCATAGGCAGCTCACACACAGAGGGACGACTCACCGCAGAACTCTGTTAGGATCTTTGAGCCAATAAAGCCAAGCACCACCGCTATTGCCGGCTGCAGGTAGTGCAGGTCGGAGTGACTCTTGCAACACACCGCGACGCAGAGACCACTCAGCCAGAAGGCGACTCAGCACTCTCGGCGAGGATTTTCGAACCGATGAATCCGAGCACCACTGCGATGGCCGGCTGCAGGTAGTGCAGATGGGTGAACGGCGTGTGATGGCATGCCATGTCATGTAACAAAATATGAGTCAGAACTCACCGCAGAACTCTGCTAGGACCTTTGAGCCGGTAAACCCGAGAACCACCGCGATGGCCGGCTGCAGATAGTTAGTGCAAATCCGAGTGACTCTTGCACCGCCTCAACCCAGAGCCAACTCAACCGCATGCGATGGCAGGTCATGCATGAAAAGAGGGTACACTCACCGCAGAACTCGGCTAGTATCTTGGAGCCGATGAACCGAGCACCACTGCGATGGCCGGCTGTAAGTAGTGCAGATCTCTTCACGCCATGCCATGCCGTGTCATACAGTGGCGATCCACATAGTGCCAAACGGAGAGACAACTCACCACAGAACTCGGCTAGGATTTTCGAGCCAATGAAGCCGAGAACCACCGCTATTGCTGGTTGCAGGTAGTGCAGATCGGCCATGCTGGTGGCAATTACTGTGAAGAGCGACCGTAGGCCTGGTGGGGTGTGGTGGAGTGCGGTGGGATGGGATGGGATGGGGCAGAAGGAGGTAGAGATGAGGAGGGAGGCGCAGTTGTAACTGCAGGCAGTGCAGATTGGCTATGCTGGCTGCGATGACGGTGGAGAGTGAGCGAAGACCTGATGGGGCCATGGAATGAGATGTGATGCCATGTCGTGTCATGCCATGTTGTTGAGAACCCAGGGGGAGGGAGGCACTCCAATAAAACAAGTTTTGAAAACGGCAACTTTAAATGTCCAATCAGCGGGGACAATACCCAGTGGTGACTGTTTAGAAAATGGCAGATATATTGGAGAAGTTCATTGAGCAGAAAATGTTTCAGAAATATAAAAGATCTCTATGGCAACATGAACTAGCAGTGAAATGGTTGCGACTGCAAAGCAATGGTGACTGTACTGAGAACAGCAGTGGTGACTGTACCGAGAATAGCGAAGATATTCGACGTGAAAACGATGAAGGGATCGCGAGTGACGCCAAAGACTGCTGGGATGGAGTCAAACTGAATTGAGGGGGTGACAATGGATGGAAAAGACAATGAATGGCAAATGATGGGAAACTATGGGCCAAAGACAATGAATGGGATGGGATGGGATGGGATGGGATGGGATGGGATGGGATGGGATGGGATGGGATGGGATGGGATGGGATGGGATGGGATGGGATGGGATGGGATGGGATGGGATGGGATGGGATGGGATGGGATGGGATGGGATGGGATGGGATGGGATGGGATGGGATGGGATGGGATGGGATGGGATGGGATGGGATGGGATGGGATGGGATGGGATGTGATGGGATGGGATGGGATGTGATGTGATGGCGCAAAGAGGCACGAAGTGAGAGGCGAAGGGAGAAAACTGCGAAGGTGAATGAGCGGCGAGGAGTGGGGGGGAGGGGAGACGAGGAGGAATTGAGAGGAGGGAAGGAGGAGGAGGACAGGGGAGGAGAGGAAGAAAAGAGGGGAGGAAAGGAGGCGAGGAGAGGAGAATAGAGAGGAGGAGTGGAAGTAGAACCCTGCTGCTGCACCCTAATCCAAGCTAAGAGCAGCACAGTAAGATCAACACTCTAAGAGCAACACTCTAAGAGCAACACTTTAAGAGCAGCACTCACCGCAAAGACAATGTCTGAAAGCTCTACGACCGCTAGCGTGACGAGAAGAGGAGAGGAGGAGAGAGAAGGAGGAGAAGCGGGGAGGAGAGGAGGGGAGGAGAGTGGGGGAGGAGACGAGACGAGGAGAGCGCATTGCACCCTCAGGAGCACTCACCGCAAAGACAATGTCTGAAAGCTCTACGACCGCTAGCGTGAGGAGGAGAGGAGGGGAGGACAGGAGTAGAGGTTAAGTAGGGCACAATTGCACCCTCAGGAGCACTCACCACAAAGACAATGTCTGAAAGCTCTACGACCGCTAGCGTGAGGAGGAGAGGAGGGGAGGACAGGAGTAGAGGTAGGGCACAATTGCACCCTCAGGAGCACTCACCGCAAAGACAATGTCTGAAAGCTCTACGACCGCTAGCGTGAGGAGGAGAGGAGGGGAGGACAGGAGTAGAGGTTAAGTAGGGCACAATTGCACCCTCAGGAGCACTCACCACAAAGACAATGTCTGAAAGCTCTAGGACCGCTCGTGTGAGGAGGAGAGGAGGGGAGGACAGGAGTAGAGGTAGGGCACAATTGCACCCTCAGGAGCACTCACCGCAAAGACAATGTCTGAAAGCTCTACGACCGCTAGCGTGACGAGAAGAGGAGAGGAGGAGAGAGAAGGAGGAGAAGCGGGGAGGAGAGGAGGGGAGGAGAGTGGGGGAGGAGACGAGACGAGGAGAGCGCTATTGCACCCTCAGGAGAACTCACCGCAAAGACAATGTCTGAAAGCTCTACGACCGCTAGCGTGAGGAGGAGAGGAGGGGAGGACAGGAGTAGAGGTTAAGTAGGGCACAATTGCACCCTCAGGAGCACTCACCACAAAGACAATGTCTGAAAGCTCTACGACCGCTAGCGTGAGGAGGAGAGGAGGGGAGGACAGGAGTAGAGGTTAAGTAGGGCACAATTGCACCCTCAGGAGCACTCACCGCAAAGACAATGTCTGAAAGCTCTATGACCGCTAGCGTGAGGAGGAGAGGAGGGGAGGACAGGAGTAGAGGTTAAGTAGGGCACAATTGCACCCTCAGGAGCACTCACCACAAAGACAATGTCTGAAAGCTCTACGACCGCTAGTGTGAGGAGGAGAGGAGGGGAGGACA